GTTCCGGGAGCCGGAACTCGGCCGCCCCGCGCTCGGTGTTCGCTCCGATAAAGTCAGGTTCTAAGAAGCACCCAGGCACTGAACCCTAGCAATCTGTCTGCAAGCCGCAGGTGAATTGCAGCCTGAAATTACCTGTTCTATGGCTGAATGAGCTGCGGTCAGTCGAAAACAGGGATGGTGACGTCAGCTTTCCAACATGGTGGCTGCTGGCCTCCTCTGTGGTCTGACCGGTGTGGAGAACCGAGATGGACCGCTTCCTTCCCCCGTCTCGAACCCAGAATTCAGCCCTGAGTACGGTGCTTGCACGGCTGGCAGAAACTGCAGCGCTGTATCCCTGCATCACTATCTCCTCATTTCCCAGCGCGCGCTGCAGACTCTAGCCGCGGGGCGGTTTGCTGAATAAGCAGTGTTACCCTCCGTGCGACAAACCTCTCGCGTTTGAGTCTCCGTAGCCGATCCTCGTGTGATGGAAATCCTTCCTCCAGGTTCCGGAGCACCCCACTATTGCTGGAAATTCCTAACAAGATATCCTTTAGCCGTCCTGACTTGTCATACTCCCACACAGTGAAGCAGCACACGGGGGCAATGCACTCCCCTCGCCGCCATCTTCCTTCCCCCCTATTTTTAACTTTTTGAGGAAACATCATCCCATTTTCCACAATGGCTACACCATCCAGTGTGACTTTAGGTGTGAGTCATCTGTCCTGCCTCAGAGATTAAAAAAAAAGGGCATTTCTTTAGGGCACTTTCCAGTCCTGCCCAGTGGCTGCTACTCTTGTTTGTGTCCAGTCTACATGAGTGGCAATGATTTTGCCTCCCCAGAGGACCTCGGGCAATGCCTGGAAATTTGTTTTTGATTGAAATGACTGGAGAAGGAGCTGCTACTGGCATCTAGTAGGTAAAGGCTAGGGACACTGCTGAATAACCTAGAATGCACAGGACACTCCCCCACCTCCTTCCCTTCCACTGGCCCCCACAACAAAGGATTTTCTATTCCCAGATGTCAGGAATGCAGATGTTGGGAGACCTGGGTCTATACCAAGAGGAAGTTTATTTGAGGACTCACAGCCTCAGAAGTCTCACTCTATAGCTAGCTGGCTCCATTCCTTAGGGCTCAAGGTGAGGCAGCCCAAGCCAAGCACACCAAGGTACAGAGCAGGGTAGAGGTTGATGCTGCCTCCTCCAACCTCCCATCCCCCCTAGGGTGAAAGGGAGCTGGGCTATATACCCCAGCAAAGGCAGAACAGAATGCTGTGGATGCCCCCAAAGGCAGAAGAGTTCAATTCTCATCATAAACGTGGACCTCCTCTGGCTTTCTCTCTAATGGAAGTTTTGCTTGAGCATGTTTGAAGCTGTGCAACCTCGTGCTTTAAGCCACATGAGGCATGTTCCTGGGCCGGTGACCAGGAAGGTCCAGGGATCTGGCTGGAGTACGAGGAAAGCCATCATTTTGCCATGGCTTGGGAGTCAGAGCCCTCAGTACTGCTGCTGCAGGCTCACTTCCCGTGCCAGGTCCTGGAAAGTCTCACTTTGTAAGCCCTTGCTGAGAATCAGCAGCATGGCTAGTCAGGATCTGGAGCACATTCAGGTCTAGACCAACGCCCTGAAGATACGAAGATACCAGGATCTCCTGCCATCACTCTTAGTCATGCAGTTATTTACTCATTTGTTCAACATATACCCAAATACTTCACATTTGTCAGCATTGGACTAGACCCTGTGGACACAACAGTGAGTAAAAATGAACAAGATCCCTGTTCTCCACATACCACAGGAGAGGACATTTAGCTAATTGTATCTGTGGGTATACAAAATGCAAACTGAGATAAGACTGTAAACAAGGGAAATGCAGCTCAGGGAGTCTGTATGTCTGCAAAGGTCTTACTGAGGAAATGACACAGGAGCTGAGAATGAAAAAGGAGTTTCAAGGAGTTTGGGGTTTCAAGGAGTCAGGGAGGCCTCAAGAGCCCCTGGGGCTGTGGGCAGTGCGACCAGGGAAAATAGACCTTCTTCCCATTGCTATGTGCAAAATGTGATAAGTGAAACAGAAGACTAGTTCCTGGTAGGACTGGCAAGAGAGACCTCGAACTTGATGGTGGTGGTGGTGGTGGGTTGGTAGGTGGAAAGGTGTAGAGCAGACACAGAGGTAAGAATTTAGACATTAGAAAACCATTAGACTTTTCCTTAGGCCCTGAATGAGAAATCGGTTCTTTATCCCAGCTCTGGTCTCCACTGCCACTTTCGGAGGATCTCAGAACCTCCAGGGCCTATTGCGCAGTGGAATAAATAATCTTGTTCCCCTCCACCCTACTTATCTCCGTTAAAAATAGAGACAGCACCAAGTGCCCAGGGGACCATACCAGAATAAATTGATTTTACATGGCTCTGCGGGCCCTGAGAAGAAAGATAAATAAGAGATAATTATGGTTATTAAGACTAAAAGACTTTTCAAGTAAAGCCAACAAAAAAAGGTTAAAGAAACTGCTGTAGTACATCTTGCAAAAAAGGCTAAAGAAGCAGTCAGCATTAATTGCCAGGCCAAGAGAAGGAATTACTTGGAAGACAGAGCATAGCTCTCCCCATCTTCACCTACAGTAGAGAGAGGAAGTTGGCCAGGTGTGATATGGCCAGGTGGCGCATGCCTCATATTCCAACAACTTGGAATCTGAGGCAAGAGCGTTGCAAGTTCAAGGCCAGTTTTGGTAGTTGAGCAAGATCCTGTCTCTAAACAATTTTTTAAAAGCTGGGGATGTGACTCAATGGTAAATTGCCCCTGGGTTTAATCCCCAATACCAAAAAAAAAAAAAAAAAAATAGCCATGTTACAGGCTTTCACACCTGCAGCTCTGTTTTATTGTTCAGATTTGCAATGTAGAGAAGAGGGATTAGGATTAGATAATCTGGGGCATTTGTGGTCCAAGTATTGTTAGATTGAGGAATGTGCCCAAATAAGGTATGGAAGATCTTCCCTGGTTCATGCTAGCAGGAGACAGGGTGTGGGGGGAAGGCATTTGAAGGTCCCACAGACCTCTGGGCTTTCTTTCCAGCATATTTCAAGGTCCAGCACAACATGAGATCCCCTATTTTCCATCAGATCCAGCAATCCCAGGCTGAGAAGGAGAGGGAGGAAGGCTTATCCCAAGGAAAGGACTGGAATCTGGCTTTGCCAGGAGCTCCAGTGATACCTTTTGTTTCAAGTAGAGCTCATAAACTTCCTGCTTGCAAAATTGACTCCATCTTCACCCCATGTTCCCTTGCTGAGGTTTTTGAGACAGCTGGTTTATAGATTGTGCTAAGCCAGAGATGCTGCTGTATGCTGAGCAGATGTGTTTCTAGTATCTTTGCACATCCTCTCATTCTCTTTTCTTTTTTGAAAAACCCATACATATTTAATTCAGTTTTTCAAAATGGGTTTCACATCATTCTCTCTCCCCACTTTGTAATGCATCTTAGTCTCCCGTAATGGGTGCACCTGTCAAATTAAACTTCATGGCTTATCAGCTAGGAGATTGCTGTAGTATCTCGCCAAGTGTTCTTGCAAGCCATGTTACAGGCTTTCACACCTGCAGCTCTGTTTTATTGTTCAGGTGAGTATATACCTTCCTTTCCATAAAGCTCTGTATTCATTGTCTTCAGCTGTCACTTTCAAGGGAGCAGTTTTGTGCAATTGCCCCTTGGGTGACTGGGAGGAAGAGGGGTGGTTGATCAGCTGAGGGGTAGTTGATCAGCTGAGACGTTATGAACTTCCTTGGGGAGTCCTCATTTGGACACAGATTATTAGGGCATGAGAGGACACTGGCTTCAATAAAGCACATTAACCTTGACCTGGAGCCATTGCCCATCAGGCAGAAGGCCAGAAGGAAACATCAACAGCTCAGACACTTGTTCCTCATGCCATCAAGGGCTACTCAGCCCAGGGGTCATGTCCAGTGTTTTTTTTTTTTATGACCCCTCACACCATCTTGTTCTGTCCCCCTTTAAAGTATAAATACTCTTGGGGGTTGATACCTTAAGCCATTGGTAGTTACTACCTTATCAGGAATTAGGGGTCAGCCATGGGGAGCAGAGTGGAACACACACTAGGGGTAATGAGCATGGGCCACTCAAAGGGAAGAGGAGCTATGCATCCCCTCAGAGCTGAGAACCAAAGTGTGCATCCAGAAACTTACAAAAGTGGTACTGGGGCATGAGGGGCCTCCAACATAGAAGGCCTCTGAGAGTGAGTGACCTGCACCTGCTCCCTGGGGAGGCAGCATGGCAAAGAGGTTTGTGTAGAGGGAAAGACCAGGATGGAGAACCTAACTCTGCCATTCACTTACCAGGTGCCTCCAGGCCATGGAGGGTCACTCTCTGTGTCGTTGGTCTCCCTCCCTCCCTTCCTCCCTCCTTTGCTCCTTTTTCCCCCCTCCCTCTCCACTTTAATTGAGTGCCTTCTCTCACAGACCATGTGCTGTGTCCTGTACTTTACTTTCCTTATTTCATTTAGCTTTATATCACCATGTCATGGAAGTGTCTTCCTACAGATATTTGGTCCTGTACAGATATTAAGAGTTTGGAGCCAGGCACAGTGAGGCACGCCTGTAATCCCAGTGGTTCAGGAGGCTGAGGCAGTAAGATTGCAAGTTCAAAGCCAGCCTCAGCAACAGTGAGACACTAAGCAACTCAGTGAGATCCTATCTCTAAATAAAACACAAATACAAAATAGGGCTGGGGATGTGGCTCAGTGGTCAAGTGCCCCTGCGTTCAATCCCTGGTAGCCCCCCTCTACCACCAAAAATTTGGTAGCTTTATATCACCAAAAATTTGGTAGCTTTATACCTGTGGCAGCTGTTCTCCCTGGCATGGGAGGAGGAAGACTGGAAAGCAGTCTGGACACAGCAGCTGTCTCCTGGCTCTTGTAGGACAGTCAAACTCTAGACACTTTAGGCAGAAGGCCCTGCAGCCCTGGTCATCCCCCAGGACTGTCAAAGCATTAACCAGTGTGGTCTGGACTGCTTTCAGAGGCTCCACAAGGAGCTGCCCCTCAGCCTGGAGGAACTGGAAGATGTGTTCGATGCCCTGGATGCTGATGGAAATGGCTTCCTGACCCCGGAGGAGTTCACCACTGGATTTAGTAAGTTTAGATAGGTACTTGGAGTCCCAGGACTCACCCCAGGTGAGTCTGCCTAATGCTACATAAAGTGCATTTCTTTCCCCTCTAGGTCTGCAGAACATTCAGTACGGGCTTTCCTATCCTCATCTCAGGGGTGCAGAGCTCAAGGCTGCCAGACTCTAGATGACTGGGGGCCTCTTTCACATGCCCACATCAACTGCTTACACCACTACCCATCCAGTGTCCCTGCCCAGGCCCCTCCCACTGAGAATGGCAAGGGGAATGGAGGGGAGCTCTGGAGAAGGCTTAGCACAAAGAGGGAGCTGTGATGAGAGTCTCAGCCCCTCTTTTTCTGCCTTGATATACAAAAAAAAGTGAAAAGGAAAAGAAATGGGACTACTATATGAATTATTTCAATTTGAGGGTGGCTGAGTCAGATGGGTTGAGGGATACCATCCATCAGAGAAATTCCTAGAGCATTTGAGTAGACCAGTCCTTCTCAAAATAACCAGCAAGAAGGAGAATTGAGATCCACAAAAAGGATAATGAACCCAGACATATTATCAGATCAGAAAAACCAACCAGCAACATTTCTATTACATCCAGTATGAGTGTGGAGAGTAACACACACCTGTGAAGGGGAGCAGGGCTAGGGAGGATGACAGGAATGATGCTCTGGACCACGGGTCTTCAGGCTGCTGGAGGGCAATAGAGGTTTTTAAAAGACATTTTTGTTTAAAGTAAAAACCAGCAAATAAATGTATTCTAAACCAGACTGTAGAGGATTGAGAACCACAAAGGAGTCCTCCCACCTGTCAGGCATCTGCCTTTCCCAGGGTCTGGCATCAAGAAGAATCTTATGGAAACACAAGACACAAAGTCTGGGGCATTATGCCAACAGATCTTTGCTATCAGAGGTTTTCCCTTTTGTTTCTCTCAAATGAACTTCAAATGACTCCTGGCAACAGAGTAAGCCAAGCCCTTCCTGGGTGAGGATTGTCTAATTGAGATGCTTGTGCCCTGTACCCCCAGGTCACTTCTTCTTCAGCCAGAATAATCCAGGTCAGGAGGATGCAGGTGAACAGGTGGCCCGGCTCCAAGAGGAGAAGGTGTACCAGTTCCGAGGGGATGAAGATTTGGGCAACATGGACCAAGATGAGGAAGCTGATCAGTTCCAGAGGTTGATGGACAAACTAGGAGCCCAAAAAGTTTTGGAAGAGTAAGTGGGAATGGCAACCTGGGATGGAGCCCAGCCTAGGAGGAATTTGTTCATCTGCTCAATAATAATTCATATTTGCTAAGCCTGCAGTGACAGTCCCCATGGTTGACCAGCGAGGCTCCCTGCTTCTTACATCCTGCCCTTTGCCAGTCAGATCTGTCTCTACATTATATTTTTTAAAATTTGGCAAATATTCCTATTCTCCTTCTCTCCTGCCCTCTCCACTTTTCCCTTCCTGCTGAACATTATCATCACAAATCTTAGGTCTGCCTCATCCTCCAAGGGGTGCTCCCACATCAGAGGTCCAGGCCAGGCCTTAGGGTTCACTCTGACTCTTCTCTAATGCTTCCTGTTGACGTCAGCTCACCAGTATTCCTACCTGCAATGGAGCCAACCCTGGGTCTCCAGGTCTACGGTGCACTTCAGCCACTGGCTGGGTGAGTGCCTGGCAAAGGCCTCTCACAGGGAGGCCTCTGCATGCTGTATCCCTGAGCAAATCAAATTTTGTCAGGAAGACCAGGTGGGAAATTAACCAGTTTCATTAGTCCACCATCTGGATCATCATCAGCTCAACTGAAAAAAATTAGAGGGTTGGAACTTCAAATAATACAATACCCTAATTTTTATTTGTATTCTACAAAGTAATTTTGAATGAGGAAACACATGGACTTAAGCCCTGACATTAAAAGTAAAATAAAAATATGATAAAATAAGACACAATATGATAAGATAAAATAATAAAATGTGTGATGCAGCTGAGAGAAACCAAAGAGTGGGCCTGAAGATCATGTAAACACCATGGCCCTTTCCCTGTGGCCTTTATCCCTTCCATTTTTGGCTTCTAGGTCTGGGGTTGGGTGGGTTTCCTGCAGGCTGGGAAAAGCCTAATGATTAGAGCTGCTATTTCCAGAGCTTGGGAAGAAAAGGGACCATGGTAGAAAAGGGAGCAAGAGATAAGGGCCCTGCACATACTACATAGGCCAGAGCTCTGAAATTTTTTGTGAACAGTTTGGTGGACTGTGTCGGAGGTGAGAAAGGATGGCTAAGGTGTGCCAGGTGGGAGGGGAACAGCATTGGCCTAGGAGGGAGCCTCCTAGGAAGCCCTGGACAGGAAGTAAAACTTGACAGCAGCAGCAGGGGCAGGAACAGCAGCCCAGAAGTGGCTGCCAGGGGCTAGGCCAGTGGAAGATGGAGGGGGCAGGGGGAGTGTCAGGGCACAGGTGGTTGTGGGGAAGCTCACTAGTCAAACATCTAATTCAGGTTCCCCTGAGACAAGAGACCAGAGCACAGAGGCCACAGCCAGGGACCCTGTGAAGCCTCCTCCTGGAGGAGGGGAAGGAGAGCGCAGTGCAGGTGAGCTAGGCCAAGGCACTGTCATGAAAGAAAGGGGCCTCCCCACCTGCTCTTCACTTCCAGGGCAGCTGCTTTCCTAGAGGGACTGTCACGTCAGAATTCACCTGATGTTACTCTAGGGACCTATGCCACAGGCCTGAGCAGAAGTGAGCTAAAACGAGATATTCCAGAGGAGAGAAGGCACTGGGAAAGTTTCAAGAGTAGTCTGTGAAAAATTGGTGCTGACCAGCAAAATCCATCCTCACTGAATTTGAGGGAAGTGCTGCAGCATGACAGAAATGATCGTGACTGAGAGACCCCAGAGAGGAAGAAGAGGAGGCTGTGAAGACTTCAAAGGTATCCAAAAGTTCTGCTTGGATATCCAAAGGCATCATGGTTTCTGTGTTGTCCTGGAAGCAGAGAGAGAGATTTATTCATCTCCCAGGACCCTTCTGGTCTGCAGGCCTATATCCCTCCATAAGGGCAGCCTCAGTGTGTCCAGAGGTGCCCCAATTTCCTTGGCAGTCTGATTGGCCCAGTGATTTGTGGGCTTTGGCTTATTTTTCCTCAAAAGTCAGAAAATATGGTATGGCCATTAATAAGAATTTCAAAGACCACTGGAAGAGTGGCCAGTGGGTCTGCAAATCTCATTGGCATTTTTAGTCCAGTTGGCTGCTCTCCCAGGCTCCATAGGAACGTGGAAGATGTGAACAGATGACCTAGGCTAGCAAGGTGGACCTTCATTTCATAATGCTTGTACTTCATGAAAGGGGGGCCTAATCTGTTTAGGCTGCTATTAACAAACACCCATAGATGGGTGCCTTCTGAATAACAGAGGTTGATTTTCTCATAGTTCTGGAGACTAGGGAGTCCAAAATCAAGGTGCCAACAGATTTGATATCTGGTAAGATACCTTTTCCTGGTTCATAGATAGCTGTCTTCTCCCTATGTCCTCCCATGGTGAAAAAGAAATAAACTCAGGCCCCTTTCATTAGGGCACTAATCTTATTCATGAGGATTCTGCCTATGTGATCTAATCACCTCCACAAAACCTCACCTTCTAATAACATCACTTAGGGTTAGGATGTCAACATATGAAATTTGGAAGCTCACAATCATTCATACCCCAGTGGGGTTCAATCTTCCACAAGGATGGAAGGTCATCAGGGTGTCTCTCTGAGACCCTTTGTCTCTAAATCCTTTGTGCCATCTACATTTTGCCTATACAACGAAGTAGACACCCACGACATGGTTTGTGTGGAGAAAATGGAATTCGGGGAAGCAGAGAGACTCCTTACCTCCCCTCCTCTTGTCTCCTGGACTCCTTCATATCATCTGGTACAGAGCCAGGTTTGTAATAGATGATAAATATTCAAGCATGAGATTGAATGTGGTATAACTAAGGGTAGTTTGTAACCCTGAAGGTGAAGCTGAAACCCAGGGCTGGGTTTGGGCAGAGGTTGGGTGTATGCCAACAGGACAGCACCACCCCATGCCTCTGCCACACACCCCTGTTGGATGGATGAGTGCACGGATAGATGGGTGGGTGGGTGGATGGGTGCATGCATGATGGCTGGCTGGATGGATGGATGGTCTCAGTAAGCAGGCAGATGTTTGGATGGAACGGAAGCAAGAAATGATGGTAGTGAAAAAGCATGGGATGGAGGGAGGAAGGGAGCAGAGAGATGAACAGACACTAACCAGAGGTGGGTTTATTTCTCAGAGGGCCTCTTCTCTGCTGGGTGCAGAGAATTATACCTGTTCCCCAAGAACATTTCTAACATGGCCCAATCGAAATATCACTTCTGAGGAGAGTTTCTAAAACATAGTGCTTGTTACATAGGCCCAAAGGATTTTATTCTTTGTCCTGAAGGGACATAGTCATAGCTGCCCTAGAATCATATTGGTTTTGTAACTCAGTGGGGGGCAAATCAGATTTATGTTTGCCTTATTTCAATCATCGGCCATAGATTTTTTTAGTCCAGAGGGTGAGAGCAGGGCCCAGGAATGTGGCTCCTCTCCTCGTCCTCCCTTTGATGATCAGTGTGGCCCCACAAGTCTTTGCTGCTGTGCTGGGTGGGCTCAGGCTCTATCATGCCCATTTCTAGAGGGTGCTTCTGGGCCTGTCACTCTGCGTCTCATCTCTCTGACTGCCTCCACGTCTCCCAGCCGTCCACTTGTCTTTCCCTCTGTGCGTCCACATCCTTCAGACTTCTCCTTCCCTTTCATTCGCCTGACAGTCACTCACATGCCACAGTGCCCCAGGGGGTGCTGCCTATTCTCTTCCCTTCCCCACAGTGACAATTGCATTCTACCATCCATCAGATGGTATGTCTTTACCTCTCAGTGGTGAAGGCCATTCTTCCTGGAAGTGACAAGCTTGTTCCTTTAGCTCCCGAGCGGTTTTCCCCACCTTCACTGGCTCCCAGCCACCTCACTTCTCCCTGGCATTTTGAGGTGCTGTGAGTACATTGCTGCCTGTGCTCACACCTCTAGCCCACTGTGGCAGACACAGAGAGTGGAAGCAACAGAGCGAGGTAGGAAAGGAGCCCATCACTGGAGTCATGTCCACCCAGAGCATGTCCCCGACTCCATTGTCTATGACAGTGATCACAGCACACTGCACCTCTCTCTGTTTCCGCATCTATAAATGGGAATGACGGCAGCCTCTGCTTCCCAGGCTTCCCATGAGGATAACATGAGCCGATGTGCAAAAAGCACCTTGCATACAGCAAGCACTCAATAAATGTTAGCTACTATCATTCATTTATTTTTAATTGGTGCACTATAGTTGGATATAAAACTGGAATGCATTGTAATATGATCATACTTGCACATAGCGTAATTGTATCAACTTTACTCCCTAGTTCTTTTACTGTTTTATTTTATTTTATTTGAATTTTTGGTACCAGAGATTGAACTCAGGGGTGCTTAACCACCGAGCCACAGCCCTAGCCCTTTATATTTTTTTTATTTTGAGCAGGGTCTCGCTTAGTTGCTTGGAGCCTTGCTAAATTGCTGAGGGTGGCTTTGAACTTGCAATCTTCCTGCCTCAGCCTCTGGAGCAGCTCTCTTACTCTCATTTTTATGATGATGATGGTGATGTCATCTCCAGCTGTCCACTTCCTTTCTGGGAACCACTGCGTTTCCTGCAGAGCCTCATTTCTCCACTCCCACCTTAACGTCCTTCCTTCTTTTGCAGCGAAGACGACGTGAAGCAACTCTGGCTGCAGCTGAAGAAGGACGAACCTCACTTGCTGTCCAACTTTGAAGATTTTCTAACCAGAATCATCTCCCAACTCCAAGAAGCCCATGAGGAGAAGATTGAACTGGAACGCGCCCTAAAAAGGTGGGTACCCAGTCTCAACCACTCTCTGTGCTCTCTGTGCCTGTGTGTAGAAACCATAAACATAAAGAGCACTTTCAGTTTTCCATGGAACCCTGTGTGATGCCTCCTTATCACTGTCTGGGTGGAGTAGGGGTGTCTTCTATCACATATCTACTTTTAAGCCCTTGCTCATATTTACTTAGTGCTAACCATACACTCCGAATCTCACAACCCTTTTGAGCTAGGGACCATCTACTGGTATCCACATTTTACAGATGAGGACTTTGAGACACAGAAATGTTAAGTAACATGCCCCAGAATGCAGTTTCTAAGTGATAGAGCCAGATGGCCTATCTGGCATTCTGGGCCCCTCCCGACTCTGAATTGGCCCTCCCTCTGTAGAGGCAGCACATCTATATGGTGGCCTAATGAATTTGCCTCTCCTGACTTCTCCCCTGTCCTCGCTCCTCTCTCTGCCTCCACGGCTTCTCCAGGAGACAGGAGACAGGGGCATGAGGTCCATCATGAGAACTGACATGTGGTCACGGGCACTGTGTTTATTCAATCACTGTAGACGTTCAACACAGTAAACTCACATTTGGGAAGCATGGGATTGAATGTGGTATAACTAAGGGTGGTTTGAAACCCTGAAGGTGAAACTGAAACCCAGGGCTGCGTTTGGGCAGAGGTTGGATGTATGCCAACAGGACAGTACCACCCCATGCCTCTGCCTCACACCCCTGTCCTGCTCCAAGGGTTTGCTCGTATTCTGTAGGAATCTATCCCCAACAAGTCCACAGCTATGTGAAGCTGCAGACCACCTGCCCACTGTGCAGATCCCTCCCTACAAAGTTTGCTCCTGTGTGGAGGGATTTTAGAGTCTATGCTGAAATAGCCCTAAAAGAAGCACAACCGATCAAAAAAGAATAGATCACCATAAGCTTCCATCTACCTATCACCCTGAGCCCCAGCTCTTTTTCATCCTGGGCCTTCCCCACATAACTCCCAAAATAGCTCACTGGGATAGATACAAATCTGGGGGGGAAAGAGTCCACATTCTGGGGGAGTTGAGGCCTGTAGTGCTAAAGGATGCACAATGGCTAGAGGACTGTTAAGAGAATCCTGGGGAGAGGTGGCCAAGGCTCAGAGAAGGGAAGATCTGAGGGAGGCACTTGTATGTAACTTTTACATCATTAAACCATGGTATCAGACAGACTTGAGAGAGAATCTTGGTTCTGCCACTTACTAGCTGTGCAATTTAGGCCAAGTTACTTAACCTCTCTGAATCTCAGTTTCCTTATCTGTCAGATAGGGATGGTCAGAGTTGTAAGCATTAAATGTGATCATATGTGTGAGTATTTGGAACAGCGCTTGCATACCAGTAATTGATGCATGTCAAAAGAATAATTATTGTCTTAAATTAGTATCTTTGTCAGTATTAGAGGATTTGTCTGCCTGAAGCAGGGAGTTTGGGCCTTGATATAATCAGAGGTGAAGTTCAAAGGAGCTTTTATCCTTCTAGACAACATGGTGTCGAGGCTGGCTAAACCAAGTGTGGTACATGGACCAGCAGCATTGGGCATCACTTGAAATACCTTAGGGATGCACAGAATGTTGGGCTTCACCCCAGCCACACTGAATCTGCATTGTAACAAGATATCCAGGTGCTTTGTGTGTAGATTTGAGATATGGGGGGGCTGGAAATCAGAAGATCTGAATCAGGTATGGCAAAGCAACCCGCTAGCTCTGTGATCTTGCTCAAGTCTCTTGGCCGCTCTGAACCTCAGTTTTCTAATCTATAAACTGAGGGAGCTGGATCAGTTTCTACCCCACCTCACCCCATTCCCTCTGACCTGGAGGAGCCACTGCAAAGTCAGGCAGCCCTTCCAGAGGGGGGTACTCTTTGTGTACCTAGAGAGAGCAACTGAGTCTGAATGGGTGAGCAATTACCCAGATCGCAGCCTAGAATCTCATTGCAGGCCTCCTCTGCTGGCCTGCTCTCCTGCAGATAGAGACAAATGCCACTGACACGCTGGAGAGCCTCTTAGCCCTGACATCCATCTTCAAGTGGCCTCTGTAAGTGCTTTTGCCCTAATTTAGTAATTGCTTTAAAAGTTCTTGAGATGAAAGTCAAGGCCACTTTTGGCAGTGTGTACAAAACCATCTCAGCCAAAGCTTCCAGTCCCTCCATGCCAGCTACCCCTGCCTGAGGTCAGCTGATCAAGTCCTGCTCTGGCAAGACTGGGGACTCACTGGGGTCTCTGACAGCCTTATTCTGGAGGTATTCTCTGGCACAGAACCAAAGAATTGCAGGTAGTAGTGAGCAGAGCACTGATCTAGGAAGGAGGAGGACCTGGAGCTCTTCCTAAACCACCAGCTTGGTGGCCTCAGGCAACATGCTTTACCTGTCTGTGCATTAATTTCCTTGTTGGCAACATGGGTGAAGGAGATTGGTGTTTTTCAGACTCTTTGAGATGGTGACTCACTAGAAGAGATACATTTCACTTTGCAATCCTCATACACTCCTATGTAGGTGTAGCTGAAACCAAAGTTCTATGAAATTGTACTCACCCTTATTACATGTGACACTGAGGTTTTTATATTAGAGTCTTTTTTATTCAATTAAAAAAAATAAGGTCTGTCCCACATTGCTGGTAGACCAGACCATCTCTAAAGTACCAGATGATCTATAACTTCTGCAGCTCAGAATGGTACTAGACCCAGGTCCAACTGCTCGCTGCTGGAAAGCCAGTACTCTGGAGATGAGTGTTGGTGGGAAGGAGATCAGTTTTATTCAAGGTCCAGCATCTTGAACAATGGGGGAGCTATTGCCTCAGAGCCCCTTCTCAGGGAATTCAGGGGTCACCAAGGGCTTTTATAAGGAAGGAAAGGAGGATCAGGGGACAAAGTTAAAGCAGGGGACAAAGGACAAGCAAGATTCCTGCTGCCCAGGGTCCTGATCATCCAGGGTTTGTGTCTCTTTCTTCCCCCCATCTGACCACACTACAAGAGACCTTCGCCCCCTGGAACTATTTACAAACATATTGCATTTCTGCAAGCTAAATATTGCATCAATTTATATGTTTTGTGTTAGTTAATGCGCAGAATTCAAGAATAAGGAGGAGTGTTGCCCATTCTGGTGTTCTCTGAAGGCCCCAGATGTTCTGGGCTCTGTACATCTGGAAGAAAGATTGTTTAACATTTGACAGAGATGTCACTCAAGTGTGACTTTTCTTTAGAATTTAGAATGCCAGGCAAAGGGAAGGGAGACAACCCTGTCTAGGACAATGCCCAAAGGGCCACCACTGTTACAACAAGTCAAACAAGAAACCAGGACATCTCAATGGAGTATAAAATATTTAAATGGGATTCTTTGCAGATAACCCAGGGTGAGGTTAAGTGATTCTGAGACATGTTTTAGAAAGTGAGTTTGATGGTTTGGACTGGTTTGGGGGAGGGGCAAGTCCAGGCTTTAGAGAAGGAAGTGGGAGGAAGTGCTGGGAAAGGCCTGATTCAGGATGGGAGTCCAGCGGAGTCCCAGCAACAGCCATCCCAGTGAGCTGTCAGAATGTCTCGCAGGCTCTGCCACAGGCTTACCTTTGCTTTTCAGCACAGGTCTGACATTTAACTCCATCTGGAAGGTGCCATAGATGATGGAGATGAATGTAAGTCATAGCTGCTGTGTGTCCCTCCCAGGGCTGGAGTCAGAGGGGAATGCAATCTGATTCACATGTTATCAGTACTTGGCATTTAATAAGCGCTTACACTGTGCCAGGCTCTGAGGTAGGCAGATAGAGCCCAGAGTCCTTACCCTTGAAGAGTTCATGATCACACTAACTAGGCAGAGCTTATACCAAATTCTGCACAAAGCTGACCAGAAAGTTCCCACATGGAAACATTACTTGGCGACGAGAGCCTCTGCTGCCTCTCTTTTTGCAAACCACACACTTTGTTTTTTCTTCTCATGGGGCACAGAGAAAATGAGACTGACTTCTTGGGAAGTCTGGCCTTCCCCCAGGTATGCAGGAGGTACATTCCCTGACCCCAGATCCCCAGGCTGGGCCATAACCCTCAGGGGTACAGTGTTGCTTCAGTGAGTAAAAAAGTCCACTCCTCCTTACAGTCGCTCGCAGGTCCCAGGAGGAATGGAGAAGCTGTTGGGGTAATTGTGTTAAGGCTCCAGTAGATTCTTGTGCTCTCCATTAAAAGAACCAGATAAAGGCATAGATATAACAGGAACAAACTCTTTATTGGGATCTCTTGCTCAAGCAGGGAGAGACTGACTCAGAGAATGTCAAGCTGGCCAAAGGACAAAGGAGAGAGATAATTTTATCCAAGTAGAAAGGGTGGGAGGGGTGGGCTAGAGTTTTGTTAATTGGGTTTAAGTGCTTTTCAAAAGGTGTTTTTCTTTTCTGGGGCCAGCACTTCAGCCTTGAGGGAGAGGGAGTCATTAATTCTCCTGGTGCCAAAGTTCTGTCTCTCATATTGACCCTGCTTCATGCATCCACATCTTTGCTCTGTGAGAAGAGTTGCTGTAGCTGCTAGAGAACACATCGGTGGGGAGTGTTGAAAACACAAATCATTCGAGTAACAAGTTAAGTGTCCTGGCGACGTGCTGCTTCCGTGACTCCTCAACAGTGTCATCCTTTAGGTTGTTTGTTCTTGAAGGTGTCAGGCTTTAATGACACATCTGGTTTCTGAGACCTTGAAGACTGTTTGAGAGTGAGTGGGTGGGGAAGGTCGTACCTTGCTCTGAATAGCTAACACGCCTGGAGCCAGGGCAGGAGAGCAGGGAAGAACAGCTCTCACGCCTTTAAGTGCCAAGGAGCCAGGAGTGAAGGCCCAGGAGTGCATCTGCCCTTTTCAGTGGGTAAGCAGCGACTGACAGCCTCATTCCCCCTTCAGAGTTTTTCCTCTTAATTGTAAGTGGTGCTGCTTTTATGGGCTTCCTGATGGTCTTGTATGTGCTTAGGAAAGCTCCTGACAGCAGGTGTCAGAGACCCAACCTCAGAGCGTGCTGA